TTTCAGTAAAATTTTGAACTATTTATTGATAATGAGATAAAACACGTAAAAAATTTGTAAAAAGTTTTTAACAAGCTGCGTAAGAAAAAATAGTATCTAATGTTCTATTACAGTGAAAGAAAAACATTAGATAGTATTAACTAATCTTTTTCTTTCTACAAAACTATGATTATCTTGCTTAAAATTATTTATATAAAAGACGAGTTTATACAAATAATTTGATAATTATTGGTGTGATCACCAAATAGAAAAATATATAATAAATTACATAAATTGAACTGACCTTTATCAGAAAATATATTGATACAGAAAATGTTTCTATGGTTATTTTATTTCAAAAAGTTACTATGCGAGTAAATTATTGCGTGCTTCAATCACACTATATTACAATTTGGAAATAATAATTGCTTCATGTTACCCATTCTTCTAATTGTTGAGTAAAGGGTACGAGAATGTAAGAAGTATTTAAGCAGAAATATCGTAAGCAGTGTATGAGATTCACCGACGCGTACTTTTACCAACTGCATTACTAGGACACGGAAAATGCTTTACCTAGGTGAAATCTATTTACCACAAATACTCTGTTTCCGTAAATACATTTTAATTTTTTTTTTACACTGCCAGTACTAAACTAGTTTCTATTTAGAATAATATTTACCGTTGTAAACTTACATGCAATGCGTTACTTCATAATCATTTGAATTTTATGCAGATAGATGGATTCTTGTTTTAATATAACAATCATAATCTTTAAATTTATATTTATTTCTATATTTAATGGACAGTTATATTTTTTTGCCTGAGTGGATAAAAGTCAAGGAACTTTTTCTAAAATTTGTTTCATTCAGTGCTTGTATACCTCGTCTGGTTACTAATTTTTTAAGTACAGTATATTCATTTAATGTTATTCTATGAAGGATTTATAATGGGCCACTAATAACCTGAATTAAATAAATAAATTACATGTTTGGGTTCATTATTTATTATCGATTGTAGCTAATTGAAAATTTACTTTTTTATATGATATAGTCTAGACACACTGGTACAGTTGATCATAATTTTATTTTATTAGCAATTTTTTTTTTTTAAATTATTCACTTATTTATTATCGATTATAGCTAATTGAAAATTTACTTTTTTATATGATATAGTCTAGACACACTGGTACAGTTGATCATAATTTTATTTTATTAGCAACTTTTAGTGTTTCATTATATAGCTTTTTAAAGGGATTTAGTTCAATTTGATCGATACAGCCTACCATCTGTCGGTACTACAGTTACATGTCCGTATATATACCCAACATGATGTAGCCAAAATATTAACGAGTATTTCATATCGTGTCTTGCGGGCTCACCGTTAGGACATGCTACAGTGTAGGTCATTAATATATTATAGGGGAACTGCCCTACGACCCTGCCCGCGCACAATTTTGCTTATTCACGATACAAGACCGCTATTTCCGAACACGTTAGCTTTTAAATTGAACCTAAATAATATATGATCTATTCGTAAAGACTCGATTTGTTGAGTGTACTTAGCGGTAATTTGTGTATACCATTGTTTTTGCAGCGCTTTTCTCATACAATAATAATGAGGAATAGGTTATAGAAATGTAATGGTTTTAACTAAAAAAATAATAAACTGTAAACATAAATAAATGAAACGAATTTCGAATGAGTTAAATAGATTTAATTTTCGGATAATGCATATATAATAATAGGCTTATTCAATTGAAAATCATCGAGGTACATGTTTGGACACAAAGCGCTCTACTCAATAATTCATAGAATTTGTTTCGGATGGGGAATGCTATTATGAAACTAATTATAATTTTTAATTACATGTGATCTGTTTAGTAATAAAACTACTACTTTAAAACAAGCAAGTCATACCGTTCATTAGTCACTGACCTAACAGGAACAAGAGCTGCGGCAATAAAATAACCCCTTTTACGATGTGTTAAGTGGAAACGAATCATATCCTATCATCAATCATAATTTCTCCTCTACAGTTACCTCCTCGCAATGGAATCCCACTGTTACTAATTTAATTTACTGTTTTTGGAACTCCTATATCAACCCGTAAAACAATGACTTGTTCTTTTATAAAAGCATTATTATGTGCATGTACGATACACACTTTAATTTTGTTGTCATAAATGTATTGCGTTGTTGAATAAGTTACATCAGAGACCGCCGTATACAATTAAAAGTGACTCAAATTAATCAAATTAGTTAGTCCTACAAGGTGCTACCACGCTAGTGATACGTATCGAACTTACTTTTCTAAAGACATTTACTACACTTCAGTGATATTAGACTTAAAAGGTAGGTCTCTTATCTAGATGATACGAGAAGTGGTAGTAAGGGTGATGAATTAATTATTTTTTTCTATAATATATGTATATTTTTCGGGCTATATTGATACGCTTTTTAAGTAAACTATTTATTCGGCTCACATCAACATGTACAATTCTTAGACAAAAAATTAAATAAATCAGTAACGTTGACCAATGGCCGACTGACGAAGTGCCCTCCCTTACCATCGCCAAAAGTGACTGACATCTGCCTCAAAGAAGCTACATTAACCACTAACTTTAAGGGCTCAACGAAGATGCGAACGCGTTGTAATAAATAAAGCGGTTGAGACAGATAAATTATCTTTGACTTGAGCACAGCTACCCTTGACAAATTATCTGTCATAAAAGCTAAAAACAAATTTGTTCCGAAATGGAAAACTTTGTAAATAACAACAGGAATTGTTTTGCATAGCTCTGGAAAAAATAACGCCTTGAAAACTCATCTCTTAGCGCAAGCTGTGATTAGTATTAACTCGATTATTAATCTGTTATTGTGAGATACAATGAGAAAGTAAGGTTTATTACATCAGTAAATTGGCAAGCGAGAGGGAGTTTAATGTCGTTAAAGTTTTAATTGCTTTTAACACGGGCCTTTGCTTTTAGAATCTGAAAACGCGTGTGACTGTGGCGTTATCAAATTGAATCTTTTAACGGCCTTTGAATTTGTGATAAAATGCCATTTAAATTCATCCTATGAACCACTTATACTACAGATAATTTCCCAGTGGTACTTATTTGTAGTGCGTTGATTACAGATCCACTGGGTGTTAATTTTCGTAGTTAACTTTTCACTCGAAACTCCCATTTCATCGAACTTGAAGCCGGACGTGACACGTTAGGTAACGCTCTCATTTAGTCCTCCTCAAAACTTTTTGTATCGAATTTAGAAAGATGTTCGTCAAGAATTATATTTCTAATTTTTAGAATTTCTTTCGGTTTTGTTGAAACTTCCTGATAAACTGTTTGTTATAATACTGAATTCTAATATTACAGATTTAAGTATTATAACATGTAGTTTATCCGTAAAGCCTCAGGAAGCTTTTCAAGTCTGTGTATGTTTGGTAATTTCCTATTCATCATTATTATCAAATCATTTGTATATCCAACATTATACAATTAAGCTCTATTCAACATTATTAAAAAAAACCTAAAATAATATATATGATAGTAGACGTAGCGATTTCTTTATGATAATGCTTTCATTGATTTTGTCGAATTTGATATAATTAAATCTTAATTACATGATTGAATACAATATACATACATAAACCAAAATATAAATTTTAAACTTCTACTTGTGTAAAGATTTATATTTGTGATAGTAAATGTCATAAAATTGAAGTAAAATGAAACAGTAATTCTAATCAACTCTAATACTATCTCAAGAATCTATCTTAAGCCAATATTGAAGTTGGCCAGGCTACTGAACACAGCATTCAAATTCAGGTAGATATCGCACACAAAATGGTTGATTATTTGAATTGCGAACAATATGTCATAATAAAGCACGTGTCTCGTGTCCAGTGTAGCTATATATCAGCCGGCGTCATTGTTCGCTACTATCCAATTAACATGAAACACGTCAAGCATATTGATGTTTCGCTGTGTCACTAATTATTAAGCATTTGTTGAATGAAATGGGATATGAGACCGGGCAATAATATACTGTACATATATTTAAAATGTTTTCGTAAATAAGGACTTATATGTTATTAATTTATATTTTAAAATCTTCAATATTTCAGCAATTTACAGTCTACTAGTAAATAAAGATTTCCTCCGTAGATTGTTACAAGAAAAGCTTCTCAGCCAATTGCCACTATTGACCCCTTGCAACTTATGTGAAATCGTTACTAAATATCGTAGTAGAAAGTAAAAATTAGCGACAAATGATAGATGAGAATTTATAGACGAATATAGAATATATCTGTCTTATCTGTAATAAAATAAGCAGCTATGTATGAACAATTTGCTTAATCTACTTATTAAACGGAGAAATTATGATATTAATAGAAAATACTATATGAATAGACATATATTATTTACATAATAATTATATATACATGTTACCCATGCCATACTATATATCGTCGCAAAATTGTGGGTTACGTACTGTTAACTGAAATAACGTTCTTACAAAACCTAGCAATTTTACCGTAATCAATCAAGCTTAATTGACAATATTACTTCCGTATATAATTACCAGAGGGTAATAGCAAAAAATCGCTCGTTACCCGCTCCCGGAACAAATCATGCGTCTATAACCAATCCTCTTACACTAAGCTCGTCACCCCTCGCATAAGCCGAGCAATAGAGATATGATAGAGGTTATTAATTAGATGTCGTTACGTCTTATGCCGTTTCATTGTGCGAAGCGGAAAAACTCATAGCTCCGTGAAAGGTTCCCGTGGCAACCGACGTCCCCGAATCCACCCTGCTAGTGATTGTGATGACAGGAGCGGTGGTGAGAGTAAACACACACAGTAGGGTGTAACTTGTATATTTAACTGTTACATCTTGAATACTCTAGCTTACACTAATTACATAAACTATATATATGAGGTACTGCGTGACCTACGTGTCGTTATACAAAACGTACACTCGCACAATCTTTTACTGAACGTGCTGATTTGCATCACTATACCACACCTCCCCTGAAAAGTAGGGTGTCTATGGTGAGGGTGTCCCCTCCCTCTGAAAGTTTAACATTACAAGGACAATTTTATTATTTAAACATACAAAAGACAAAAAAAACAAGCACCAAGGATTAATTTAACTTAACAATTTCTCAAGGTATATCATACCTGAGTACAAAAAAAATACAAACTTTTATAAATACATTGTATTATTAATACATATTTGTCATCATCTAACAGATCTTGTTTTCTACTAAACAAGTAGTAACCAAAAATTAAAATTAGGCCTTTTACTCTATAACAATTTTAAGAAATTTTATGCTTTACATTATTGGCCAATGTGACAATGCTCACTTCATTATCTGTACTTATTGACTTACTATACTTATCTATACATTTTACAGTATACCTACATAATCGTAAAAACTCATCATACTTCTGTATATACCGACAGAACTTATTAACTTGAGACTTATTGTACATATTTTTAATAATTATAACTTCCATAATATTATGATCCTTGCATATCTCTACAAGTTCTCTTAATGATTTATCTACGCCCACCTTTGTTAATAGAGATGTTTGATTTAAATATATTATAGATCCGGATAGAACTACATTGCACGCATTATCATGCATATTATGCATACCTAACACTTTTCCTAATGTCTCCTTATTACAAATATTTAATTTCACACGAAACTGTGATTTTGTAGTAATTTCTGCCATCTTTGATGGAATAGATTTTATTTTCACTTGAGAACATTTATGAATTTTTTTAATTGGACCTTGCTTAATAACGCCTGAACAGCATGAGTTTAATTTTTTTAACTCATCGGACGTTGCAATTATTTTCGATAATTCGTCCGTTGTTCTATTTTTCAAACAATTTACATTTTTCTCCATATAGTCAGTTTTCCTTTTATTAGGAAAAGTAACATATTTTATACCATTTTCTCTTTTTTGAAAAGGTATACGAACCCTATCGAGTGATCCGTGGGGCTTTACACTTAAACAGCCCAATTCAAAATTTATAATACCTTTAAATTGTATTAAAAAATCTTCTCCTAATATACCATGGGAACTGCACTGTAATTCTTTAAATACATAAAACTTTTGTCTAAATTGCAGTTTCTGAAATTCAAGATTCAGGTAAACAAATCCCATTGCTTCTAGATTACCACAGACGCCTTTTATTATAGCGTTATCTTTATGGATCTTAATTGAAGGCAAATTTTTTAACCAATCATACTTTAAAACTGACATTGATGCTCCTGAGTCTGCTATCAAAAATATATCATTATTAAAACAATTAAATTTAACTACATTATTTGTGTTAAAAGCTAAAATTTCGGTATTCTTATTTTCATGAACAAAATCTAACGATGTCTTTCTATCGCTATTCCTACTATCAGCTGACGCTTTGACGTAATTCATATGCTTACTATAACAAACTGCGCGACCTTCTTTACTATGCATTATTGTATTTTGCTGACTTCGCGCCTTAGTATTATTACGCTTCGCTTGACATTGATTTGTTCTGCGATCAAATTCTCGTGCGTCATAATTTATTTTATTTATTAAACACGTTTGGAAGTTCTTAGGAATGAATTCCTCCTCTTCTATTGCTGTTTTGACAGCTTCTTGTAAATTTGATATTTTTCGACATATTATATACATTGTCAACCTACTATCGTTTAGCCCGTATGCAAATTGCCTAATTGCAATATTCTCATTTATGGGCAATAGAATATCATACGCGGTGTTCAAACCCCCCGCTTGGGCAATTGTTAATTCAACAAACAACCTTTCAATTTCATCCCCAAACTCTAAAATTGTTCTATTACCCTGCCTACATTTTTGTAGTTGCGTTAAAATGAATGTATACGATTTACTTGGTAATAGAATTTTTCTTATATCCTCCGTTAAATTATTAATATTATCGTAGTTTGATTTTAATTTTAATTTGGCACAACTAGAAAGTCTCGTCTTTAATATAAAATTTATTAGTAAGGGGTGGTCATCAGGCCTGAGGATAGTTTTGTAAAATTCAATGCCGTCTAAAAGGCTTTTTATAATTTCCTCATCCCGATTCACTATAGGTAATAGCAATAAAGCTGCTTTTAAATCAAATGCGGCCATTTTTAAAATATACAGACTAATATAAAATTCTTTCAAAAAGTGTGTAAGTGGCCTGTCACAGTTTGCCTACTTCCTGTTCAAAATAAGTGACTTAAATTTAAATACACAATCAAATATTATATACCACTTAATATGTCCTTAATTATATTTTCACTGCACCAAACACGTATAAAAATGTCTTCAGAAATGACACTAATCACGGCACATTTGATAATCACTACAACATTTGTAGACCGCTAGCACCCTTTTATTCAATCTTTATAATTCCATCTATGGATGCTTCAATCAATTTTTTAGGCACAGGTATGCGGTGAACCTCAATTTGAGGATATTGGACACCGATGGCCTAGGAACTTTAATTTCCACCGTACAATATATTGAAGATAAATAATTTATACCTCTTTGCTGCCCGAAGATCTTCAGAGTATAGTCTGATCTTGATCCATTTATGCAGCTTCTTTGTCACGGTCGCCATGTGATGACAGGAGCGGTGGTGAGAGTAAACACACACAGTAGGGTGTAACTTGTATATTTAACTGTTACATCTTGAATACTCTAGCTTACACTAATTACATAAACTATATATATGAGGTACTGCGTGACCTACGTGTCGTTATACAAAACGTACACTCGCACAATCTTTTACTGAACGTGCTGATTTGCATCACTATACCACATGATCCCTTTAGTGCATTTATCTACTGATATAGCATTTATTATAGAGACTCACAAAAGTTATTATGAAATACTACTAATAATATATGGACGTTATCGGTGGCCTAGCGGTGTACAATACTGTCTTACTTTCAATAGGCGGGGGTTCTATTCGTACATGTTAGATTTCTAGTCATACATATTGTTTGTAATTATGACGATAGACTTGTTAATGTTCAGCATCACTCGTGAACGAGTGCTGCTTGTAGGGACTGGACTGCTCTTATCACTACGACTGATTTAATCTTATTGTGTTTTTATATTTGAGCCTAAATACATTAGTGCTGGTTGGTAGTTTGTATTCACACGTTTCGACTTGTAAAATGTGAACTTACAAGGATTGTTTAAAAGAGCAATACACAAGTTTCTTGCTTATTCTTCTTGTAATGAGACAGCTTTATACTCTATTATACAGCGAATAAGCGGTAGATTTAAAAAAATGATTTTCTATTCTATTCTATTCTATTCATGAGGTCTTTAAATTAAAATATATCTGTTAAAGTGTAACCTGTATCCAACAATAAGAAAAAGATGTTATAATGATTGGTATTAAAATTAGATATTAATAATTATTTCGTAACTCTTTAAAATATGAGACCGACAGTGAGTGCAAAAGCATAATAGTGGAAAGCACTATTACAGATATAGAATCCCTCGCTGCAACATCAACAGCACGTGCACGCGCGTGTGATGCACAAAATGGCGCTCACTTAACGCGCCATAAAATCTGTACCCATATTCAACCTTATCCCCAACACACTGGGATGATCCGTAATGGATCCTCGCTTGTCAAAATACCAAAGCATACAATAATAACAAGAATATCAGGAAAGAAGAAAATACGGACCATTATATTCTTGAGCCTATAGAATTATTATGCCATTTGAAATAAAATATAATAAAGGTAAGAGAATAATCAGAATTTTACTCTGACATTCATAGGTTTGGAATAAAATTGTGAATATTCCATCATCTATATTTTAGGTCTTTACGACTTACTGCTTAATAGCTATTAATCAATTAGCTTACAGATGCAATTCAATTAGCTAGTGGAAACTTATGGGTAGGATATTAATTTATTCAGTAGCAACCATTCATTGTTTGTGAAGTATTGTATGCTACTTTCATTAATTACTTTCAGAATTAAAAGTAGTATTTTTAGACATAAAATTATCTCTAAATCAATATAAATATGTTCAGTTTTCGTAATTAGAAATACTAATCACCCTCACAAATCCATGATAATGAAATAATATGTGTTTAAAAAAAGTTATAATAAAACATAATATATTTTTACGAACATTAATTGAACACTGACCTTTATTGTGCACACCAAAATAGATGATGTTAAGATACTTCAGCATGAATAATAATTATTGCAATGATTAAGTACAGTTTCTTTACAACCTATTATATTTATGAGCATTCGGTTAGATAAATTTTATATGTTTTTATATAATACAAATTGCTATTATTTGAGGCACGAATTTGTTGAAGGTAATTTAAATAAAGTTACCTTCAACAGATTCATGCTTTTATTACTTCTAAAAAATAAATATAATAAAATACAGTTACAGATTAGATAAACCAGTACTACTAATAATTAGGTAGTTGTTGTTATGTATGTCTTACACAAATATATTTTTAAAATTGACGGAATATTGTAAAATGCCTTTATGCTTTAAATCTGATATAAATAGTTGAAATATATTAAATAACTAGCTTTTGCTCGCGGCTTCGCTCGCGTTAATTTATCCCCTTAGGGGTGGAATTTATCAAAATCCTTTCTTAGGGCATGCCTACGCCATAATAGATTTATGCATGCAAAGTCTCCCGATCGGTTTAAAATTGACAAAGTTTCATACAAACTTTCATCCACTATTTTATCCCCTTGGGGGTAGAATTAATCAAAATCCTTTCTTAGCGGATGCCTACGTCATAGCTTCTACCTGCATGCCAAATTACGGCCCGGGTCCGTCCAGTGGTGGGCTGTGCGTTGACAGATCACTATGTCAGTCACCTTTGAGTTATATATATATAACTCAAAGGTATATATATACAGATAGATATGATATAATGGTCTCAGTGGTCTAGCGGTTTACCACACCGCAAATTCAATACACACACGATGCAAATATTTTTTACCATGAATATGACTGTTTGTATTGATTAGGTTGTCTATGTATATCATATATTGATTTATGAGCTCTTTAGTACAAATAAAACAAGCTCTTGTTGGGACTAGATGGAGCTATTTGAATTGTCATAGTTAATTAACTATGAGAATTAAAATAATAAGAAAACCATATAATTATATGTTATAAGAAAATCATGTTCTAAAAGAATAACGATTTTGATGCTAAAATTAGAAACGAAATATTACGTTTCTACCTTTACTAACTAGATATAATCAATATATCTAAACATAAACATCACATTAACTTAATGTAAAATTTTTATTTATCTCCTTAGAGATTATAATCAATATAACGTATTTTACAAACTCATTTTCAGACCTCTCTTAATTGTCATGGAAGCGACAGGTAGTGTTGTATTTCAGAGCGAGTACCAACGCCAACCCCAGACCCAATTCATTCGACGCAGCTTGATTTACTTGACAATTAGTTGCCATTGGGTGGTGGTTATAATTATACCCATTATTACAATCAGTCAGCGATTTGATTAAATTTTATTTTTTAAATTAAACACTGTATAGACCCTATATAATTATTTTTAACAACATTAGATTTTTTTATAATGTATTTATTACCCTTGTTGAAAGTTTCTATATCAGTACACATCAGTGTACAAATTGTAGTGTTTAAGAAATAAATCATCATTAAACCTGTACATTATTTAAAGTAATAAATAAAACAGTAATTATATATCGAAAGTTACATTGTGCAACGAAATTACGTGAAGCCTTATCAATTGAAACTATGTTTGTTGTATTTGCTCCCGCTCCCGCTTTTGCTCTAAATACAGCTTTACCAACAAACTGCAAGTTGTCGACTCTAATTATGGTTTCCTTTTAACACACACCCACTTTAATTCTAGAGTTCTAATGATTAGAGAAACATTGCTAATTTGTCGCTATAAAATGTCTTTCAACACTCTACGTATATATTCTATTTCAAGCTAAGTATTTTGTTTTAGTATTCTGTAATATGTTACCGTTCAGAGCAATGTTAAGCTAATTGAGCTTAGTTCAAACAATCTTGTGTAACTATAATTACAAATGCAAGATTTTGTCCAAATTGGTATGTTATTTGTAACAACACCACAAGTTTAAAAAACTATACTGTTCTTTTTATTCAATTCATTTATTTATTTAAAGGATATATGTCATCTAGTCTTAAACCAAGCAGAACCAAGTATTTGTACAATTAAAAATAAGTAACTAATGAATATATTGATTAAATTAACACTAAAAATCATACTGTTATAGTATATTTTGTTGACTTTAGTTGACTCAAACGTTACTCAAACCATGTACTAAACAAGTATTTGTATACATTTTCTTACACAACAAACTCAAAAAAGAAAACGGGAAGCTCGAGATGAGAAAATACTAACATTGAAAACAAAAGCCTTCTGCAATGACTCGTTTCCTCGGAGCGGTAATTGGACGGGCGTAATTACTGCTTGCTTGTAAAGCCATCATCTTATCATCTCGAAGGGTATTAGCGAAAAACACGGGCGGGGAACCGAGGGAGACTCGGCGCGACGCTACGCAACCGACTTGCGGGATAGGAGAAGACAGCCAACGACTTAGATGGTTATTAATATCTTTAGAAGACTCGGGAAATAAGCGACGAGCTCTCAAAGGGTAGACGTCAAAACAAGGCAATTATAAGATAGGGTAATTAGGTTTATACATAATCTTTATGTTTCAAGATTACTTTTGTGGAAAATTGGGCAAGAGTGCTTGGTTTTACGCATCACTGTTTTTCGACGCAATATATATATTTTTTTACAACAAATGATTTATATGATGATAAATATTTAAATATTGTACTAGATATCATAGAATACGTGAAAGATTAACGGGCTTTACTATGTATTTTGTGGTGATCCTGATTCTATTCATCTAGTCTAGTACGTACCCGACTAATGTTGTGGTAGCAGTGTAGATAAGCTTTTGCATGTTTAATTTGTAGAAAATTTAAAAGAGACAATGCCATTTCATAATGACATACAGATTTTGAATAATGCTTTTATTATTTCAAATATTTAAAGGAGTCAGTAATAAGAATTATTGTTAGTTTTGCATTGGAACGACAACAATATCGAG